GTTCCAGCTGGCTCTGCCAAGAGCCTGGGGCACCTCCGGGGTGGGGCTGCCCCCACCCTCCCCTCCGCTGGCTCCATAGCCATGGCAAGGGGCTGTGTGAGGGAGAGGGGTCTTGAGCTCATAGCCGGGCCTCATGACACTCAGAGGAGGGAGTGGGGGCACAGGCTGGGTTGGGAGGGTCCAGTAAGATGAAGGAGCAGATGTGGGCCAGATGTTTACAGCTGGGGTTGGTTTCTAGGCAGTGGGAGAGACTGTCTGCATTGGCTATGGGGGAGGGGAAGGTCTGGGAGGGGCAGAGAGGACCCCCCACATGTCCACAGAGGACAATTCTGCCATTCAAGACGCTGCCCAGGCAGGTTCTCCCAGCCTCTTGGCAAAGGGGGAAGGGGAACTACCAAGTGCCTCCCCCAGTTTCTCCACCCCAAACAGGAAGATGAGGAGGGGATTGGCACTGCCCCCCTCCCAATTGCCCCATTTTCTGTCTCATCTGTTTCCTCCTTTTCTCTCAGTGTTCACCCTCCCTCTGGGACACCTGCTTGGGGGCTTGGGGCAGGCCTTGACAGGGACCAGCCTGGTTTAGCTGAGCAGCCTTTCCACTCCTGCGTCTCAGTCGCCCCCTGTTGTTGTGTTAGCATCAGTGCGGGACGCCCCCAGGGAGCCTTGGGCAGCGATCCAGTCTACAATTTTCTACCTGTCTGCCCCTCTTCTGGGGCCCCTAGTACTTGAGTCTTTTGCCCCCTTTCCCTTACTGACGTATTGTCCATGTTTTGAGAGGGGCTGGGAGGAAGCAGGGGATCTATCCAGAGGATATGGCCCAGGCCCACCCCCCTGTGTTAGATGGGGTGACCTTAGCAAGTGCGGAGATCCGGTGAGGGGAGCAGGGACAGTACAGAGGCAGAGGGTAAAGACCAGGTGAGGACAGGAGGGCAGCAGGACCCAGAGGCTGCCCTGAGCCTCGCTGCCATGCCCAGCTTGACTGTGACCCACTCCTTGAAGGGAAGGAAAGAGAAGGGGACACCCATCCCTGTCTGAAGCCTTATCATCACCCAGGCTGGACTCGCTTCCTCCAGCGAGAAAGGAAGGGGCCATAGGACTGGTCATCTCAGAATAAGTGCAGAGTAGACCACCACTCTGGACCTGGTGTCTAGCCTACTCTGACACCCCAAACCCAAGTCTCTTTGCGGGCCCTGCACCCTGACTCTTCCCTGCTGGCTGCCTTCCCTTAGAGCTCAAGCAAAAACCTCCAACAAGGGAGGCCTCAGCCCAGAGGAGTGCTCTCGCCCTCGGGCTGGGTCCCTCTGACTAAATGGAGGCCAAAACTCCACACTAAGTCTGCCCCTAGATCCTACCCTCAGCTCCCATAGTAACCTCTAGGGCCTTTTGGGAAGTGGATGAATGTGGAGGGTAGGGTCTTGCCGCTTTGTAAAAGCCACATTCCCATTCCCTATCCTTATCCTTGACCCAGTGAATCACCTCACTGTTAGGAACCTCAGAATGCCTTTCTTGGTGTGGAGCTCAGAGGCTGTGTCCTCTAAGAACTAGGATTCCTGGGCAAATATGGGAAAAGTCCAGTCTTCTCTGGTAACAGAAGCCAGGAGTTGTTGGGACCAGCAGGTAGCATAATGGTTATGTTGCTGGACTCCCACGTAGTCAACGGTGGTTCGAGTCTTGGACCCAGTAGCTTAAAACATGCTGGGCGCATGTACATGCATACCCAAAATCCCAAGAGGAGAATGGAGGACAAGAGATTGTTTTCTTACTTTCTGTCTGTCTCTCTCTAGCAAGTGCATGTGCCCCACCCCCACCCCCCCAAAAAAGAAAAAAAAAGCCAGGAGCTGTGTGCCAGCCTCCATTCTTCTTCCCTCCCAGCCTCTTCTGCCTTACCTGGTGATGGTGGCCTCCTCAGGACTGAATGGGCCACACCGTATGGTTCCTCTAAGGGACAACTCCCGTACCTCAGATCTAGGTTCCCCCATACCTGAGTCCCCTGAGTCCTAGGTACCCCTACCGGAGTCCTAGGTTTCCCCTTCACCTCAGACCTAGGTCCCCCCCAACCTCCTCAGAGCTAAGTCCCCCGGCCTTTTCAGACCTAAGTCCCCTCTGGTCTCTGAACATTTTGCATAGAAATAGCAACACAGGGCCAGCAGGTGGCGTGGTGGTTAAGGATGCTGGACTCTCACATGGTTAACCACAGTTCAAGTCCTGGACCTGGTGGTTTGCTTTCTTACTTTCCCCCTCTCTCTCTCACTCTGTCCTTTTCTGGTCAAATTTTAAAAATAAGTAAATAAAGTTAAAATAATTCTTAAAAAAAAGAAAGAAATCTCAACACACCTGTCTCCTATGTCTCCTTGTAAGACTTCCCTCTTAGGCCCAACTTCATCCACCACGATCACATGAAGCTTCACATATCGTATCACATGAATCAGGGCTGGCCGAGATGGGGGGATTGTGGAGTGAGGACTCTATTGGGGGTGTCTGTCTCTGACTCACAGAAGAAAGAAAGAACACTTGAAATAAATAAATAAATAATTTTATTTTATCTCCTTGCTTGACCACTCAAAACTGAGTGACTTTGAAGGCACGCTCTGGAACAACATCTGGAAGAAAGTGAGAAAGCCTGTGTTCAAGGCGGCTTAGGTCCCTGAGGTTCTGGACGGTGGGTTGGTTCTCACCTGTTCCTGTCAGCCTCTCTCTCTTCTGCCTCTGCGTTCTCCCTCTAGAGGTGGTGGGGAAGAGACCTGGGTCTGTGTATGGCATTCTATTTTCCAAAGCCCTGGCCCACTCCCCTGTTTAATCACCCCTATGCACCCCTCTTCAGCCCTTCCCAAGACTCACTTCCTCCTCCTCATTCTGTAAATGTACTTTCTGGTCACGGTCAGCACTAGGACCACGGAGGGCACCAGCATTCCCAGCAGCATGGGCACAAAAAAGGATGCTTCTTTGTGCAAGGAAGAGAAATGGGCATGGGGTTAGGAGGGGTGGAGGAGCAGGCACTGCCTTCCTGTCCTTGGCTGCCGCCCCACCCCTGAGGGACTTCATCTCCCCAAATACCCAGGTGTGGCTGGTCCTCCCTGCAGGAGGCTGTCAGTCACAGGGACTCTGAGGCCTTGGTGCCACCTGCACTCCAGAAACCCTTTCTGTTTCCAGACAACTCTCATAAGCCTGTTAGGGGGATGCTCATCGTGCCGGTCCCCTGGAGTCTGGGGTACCATCTCGGCCAGTGTTTCTCAGGGTAGCCCTGGAATTCTTTGCCTGCAGTCACCTGAGTACTTACAGAAAAGAGATTTCTTTCTTTCTTTTCTTTTTTCTTCCTTTTTTTTTTTTTTTGAGAAATTTTTGCTATAGCTCCCATGTGCTCACCAGAGAGACAGAAAGTGAGAAATATTACCCCCCAGGGGAGATGGCCATGCTGCAATCCCTTCTCCACTCTCTTTTCGGGATTTTGGGCACACACACACGCGCCTGGCATGAGTTTCAAGCCACCAGGTCCAGGACTAGAACCACAATTGGCCGTGTGGGAGTCCAGTGATATAACCATTACACCATATGCTGGTCCTGAAAAAGCAGATTCTGAGCCCCCTCCAACTACTGAATTCAGATCTCCAGAGAAGGAAGTTCTGGAATGTCACCCAAGCTTTAGGCAAGATAAAGTCAAGAGCACCATGGGCTCGGAGTTTCCAGAGAACTACAGTTTGGCTAGGGAAAAATAAAAGGTACTGAAGGGGCATAGAGGGAATACAGGAGAGAGACAACGCAGGAGTGAGGCATACGCGGTGCAGATACGGGGGCTGGGGTTCAGAGAGGAGGCTCCAGAGTAGGTGAATAGGAGCTGGACCCAGGGACTGAGTCTTTGAACTTTCCCGTCCTGCTGATCGCTAGGAATCAATTATAATGTGATTCCTAATATAATATAAATAATATACAGGTGGTCCCCGACTTACCATGACTTGTTTGACTTCATGATTTTTTGTCTTTATGATGGGTTTATTGGAATGTAACTCTATCATAAACTGAGAAGCACCTATATATGATATTTATGTTATATATGATCTGTATCTCTTCATAGAGATTGTAGTAGATGATGCATAATAGTTATCATACTTTATGTTAACATTACAGAATTACCCTGGGGCAGTTGCTGGTGAGGAAGGAGCTTCGGGGCTATGGGGCCTGGGATGCAGCTCTCACCTGGCATCCCAGGGGGCGGGACATCCTGAGGCTCTGAGCAGAGGTCTCCGCCGTAGCCTAGGTCACATTCACAGGTGAAGCTGGCTCCTTGCTCCCGACACCGTCCCTCGTTCTGACAGGGGTTGGGTAGACATGGGCTTTCTGTAGGATGGAGGGGATTGTGAGAAGGGGTCCTGGGAGGACACACGCAGCCTGGCTAGGGGTGAGACCTCAGGAAAGAAAGCAGCAGCCACCAGAGACTGGCCAGGACTCAGCTGGCCTGGCTCCCAGTCCTGACCCTACCCTCAGGAGCCCTGGGCATTGGGAAAATTATTTCACCTCTCTGTCCTCCGTCTTTGTTACCTATAAAGTTGGGTACTATGTTAACCACAAGGCCTGAAGTGAGGACCAGAGAGGATGACGGGAAGCTACCTAATGGCAGGGAGGAGTGTGGCCAGTGCCAGGCAGGCAATAGATGCTTAGGGAGCAATGGGTCCTTTCCCTTTGTTGCTCTCTAAAAGGGAGGGACAAACTTCCTGGTATCACTGTGGAAGGTGCCAGGGAGAGGACAGGGAGGATTTATCCTCAGCCTAGAAACATGCAGAGCAGCCTAGAGCTATGGCGGCTCAGGCCCACCTTGGAAGCAGCCACGGGTGAGA